ATCTTCAATTTCACCTCCTTGCAGTATGTTGTTAAACTGCTTGGCAATGAGTGGATGCAGACCAGTCAGGTGTTTCAACCAAAAACCATGCAGTTCATCTTCAGCTGGTGCTGACCAATTCTTGATCTTCCTTGCCTTTTTTGCCATCATTTCTGCTATTATTACAAGTTCTTTCATTTCAGCTTCTTTTTTATTCTTATGCACCCCCTTTATCCAAGCTGCATTCTTGTTGTATTTCTTTGGGTTGTCCCATAGCTGCACCCAGAATTCCACTGTTTCTCCTTCGTCAGGTGTTGACTGATTCATTGCAGTCTCTCCATTGATGGACTGGTAGAAATGTTTCTGATTTGACTGACATTGTAGATTCTGCCTACAGTGTGCAATTCAAGCTTCCAATCTGTGGATCTACTTGGCTATGGCTGTTATTTGCTGCTTTATTATTTCCAGTGCTTCTTTGTTCTCCCTTGTTTCTAGGTGATATTTCTTGATCAGGTATTCTTTGGTCTTCTTGTTCTTCAGCTTCTTTTTAGATTCTGCCTACAGTGTGCAATTCAAGCTTCCAATCTGTGGATCTACTTGGCTATGGCTGTTATTTGCTGCTTTATTATTTCCAGTGCTTCTTTGTTCTCCCTTGTTTCTAGGTGATATTTCTTGATCAGGTATTCTTTGGTCTTCTTGTTCTTCAGCTTCTTTTCTTTCATCTGTTCTAGCTTGCTTGCATCTAATCTTAGCATACAGGTCTTATTTACCAACCTGATCTTCCATTTTGGTGGTGCACTGTTTGGCTTTTTTTCTTGTTTGTTGATTGTGCACCCAAAGTATTCAGTTATAACTGTAGCCATGCTGTACATAATTGGTTTGCTTCTTGCAGTGAGCTGGGGCTTATATTTGATATTACAGAATTGGCATCTTATAATACTTGTGCTAGCTGTTTCTTTGTAACAAGCTTCAATGCAGGCAACCATCATCATCATCATCAATCATCATCATCATCATCATCTAGCTGGAAAACCAATATGTAATATTACAATGATTGTGCTGGTACTCTAATCTTGCCTACATATTCATTTGCTTGAATAAATAATGCTAAAATAAGATAGTAAGACTAGAATATAAACTGTAATTAAAAATAGACCTCTATAAGACAAGCCTCAGGTAAATCAGTTTTTAAAAAGTGAACAAAAAACTACTGCTTCTGGTAAAGAATAAAATCCTGTTGAGTTTGCTGCAGAAGAATCCCACTGTCATAGAGTAGATGTGGTGAACAATTGTTTGAAATAATACACACAGAATATTATGAAGTTCTTAGTAACTGAACTCTTGCTAAGAAAGGAATGGGAAAAAGGTTCCACAGAAGAACTCAGCACTTTAGCTAAAGGACAGTAACAATGGATAGTGTCCAGGGGGCTAATCAAAAGTGGTAACAGTCCCAGAAAACACTGAGTGTGCTTCTGGGAAGCAAAGGCCTTTAAAGAGACAAACAGAAATCTGTACAACCAAAGGAACTACATCTCATAAAATTGCTGTACAATCCAATAGAATTAGTGCCATAATTGCATAAACAACCAGGACTGCAACCAAATAGTGTGATATTTTTTGCAGAATATAAACAAAAGGGGTTGAAATGTGGGGTCAATGTCAAATGTCTTTTGATACATTGACCATATTAGATTCAGTGATTTAATATAGCATTGATAGCAGCACTGGCAGCAAGGAGCCATCATAATAATTTCCCCACAATGCCTCTGCTTGCTTGATGTAATACCACTTCAAGGTACTGCTGAACATTAAATAATGACTGCTTGGAGATCCAGCTGGGTAGCCTGAGGGGAGTAGGACATGCACCAGCAGTGTAGGATCCTGTGGGTGAATTGGGATTTAGGAGCTTCTCCAGGGTTGCCATAAACTAATGTCAGGGCTCTAACCTAACCCTAAAGTTTGAGCATGGTTCAAGTTGGCAAGATTCTCTAAGTTAGATGGAAGGTGGTTATGTGGCAACTTCAGCCTCAATGAAGGTTAAGTGATAGTCACTGGTGATCAGTGATAATCACTGTTAATACAGGCAAGTAAAATTCAACCTGTGAAAGGAGCATATCATTCTACAACCAAGAATAAGAACTCCATTTGGTCTTATTAGGTCTCATGAAGTCAAAGCTAAAAACACTCTTTAAGTGCCACAGTAGATTAAAAATAAGCAAAAATACAATACTGCCTTCATTACAATAAAAAGGGAACTTCATTCAAGTTAACTTTCCAAACTGGGACAGCTGGAAGTGCAATTCTAAACTTAAGGGTAACAGATTGAATACCTATTCTATATTCCTCATGCTGCCCAGGCCTTCAATAACCTGGATCATCTCCATGGTTGCCATGGGGGCCATGAACTCCTGAGCCACTTCTAATATGCCGAGAGAAGGCATACTGAAGTCCCCCAAGACCATAAGCCTGGATACCTCCACCACTAATCCAGGCACAGTATCATGCAGTTCAGGTGGGGAGGTAGCTACATAACAGAGAAACTGGCACAGTAGCAGCAATCTTGTATGATCCCTAAAGCTGAACTTCACAAACAGGGTCTCACCTCCTGTTATCAGCAGAGCAGCATCCCTAAAAGCCATAAATGAAAATAGCCACTCCTCCATACCTGCCCTGAGACTGTATCTGATGCCACATTCAAATTCTGGGTGGGCACATTTCTGAAAGGGGCATCACACTGCACCCAACCAGTAATACATGCCAAGTCAGCCCTCTCATCCACATTCAATCATGGATGAAAGAGACCTTATGACAGGTGAAACTGGAGATTAAGGTCCAATGACCAGGTACAGGGCAAAACCCAACCAGTTCTTCAGAGACAAAAGATGGAAAAATTCCAGAGTGGCTGACAGGTAGAACAAACAGAATGTGTTTCTGTTACATGTAAAAAGGCAAGATGGACCCTGCTAACTGGCATGGTAGGTCTCACACCAGCTACAAGACACTGTCCAGTTCTCTTGCAGGACCACTGACCAACTCACATCCCAGTCAGCATCCAGCATCTGGGCCTCCAACTCCTCCAAACCAGTGACACTGGGGAATATCAAGCCACAATCCCCAGCTCCACACAGATGAAAAGCAGTTCACAATGAAGCCATCACCAAAGCTGTCAACTGGACATCAACCAGTCCTACCATTGCCACTGGGATGCTGGGATTCAACGGCTAAGTGGCAGCATATGAAGATAATGTGCTATCCCAAGCACCGTTTCACTATTAATAACTCCTCCATGATCATAGTGCTGGCCAGAGAACAGCCCTTCTTTCTTAGCCTCAAGTGTGAACCTCTGAGCTGCCATCTTCAGAATCTGCTGTCATTGCCACAAGCTGCTGTCACACCAACCGAAGGCTCAGCAACCTCAGAGCCATCTACAAACCTTCACCTAAAAAACACCTTCAACATCAACACCAATGGCCTGTCATCACACAGCCTCAGCACCACAACCAATGTATTTCCACCCAGCGCAATCCTTTTATCCTTCCCTTCTAAAGCATAATGTTTTTTAAAAAATATTTTAGACACCTTGTGCAATTTAGAATCTTGATTTTTCAGGATAGTAAGATAAGGTAGTAAGAAGGTAAGGTAAGGTAGTAAAAAATGGCTTCTCACTACATAAAAACTGTCCCTCAATAGGTGAAATGCCAGTGGATGACCTTGTGGATGAAACAAAATGGTTGGCCCCAGGGCCCATTTGGTTCTTTTATTGGCCATCATGTCAATAGTGGAATTTAATTACTAAGTCTGAAAGAAAACAAAGTAGACTGTATCTCCTTCCTACCTACCTACCTATCTACCGTCTATTTCTTTTTTAATCAGGGGTATAATAATTTTGAGGAGGGAACAAAATGAAGATTCAAATTTGAAGAGAAGCCAGGTTCTTCCCTTCTGAAGCAACCCAAATCTAGTCACCAGGCCTATTTTTTAGCATCAGTCTAATGAGGCATTTACATCTCTGCACTTAATGCCTTTCATCATGATACAAGTTACTAACCTTGTTTGCTTGGATTAAGTGAAAATCTTTTCCATAAGCCTTCAAACCTTGTTCAAAATTTCTACATTCTTCTTCTGTCCAGACAGACAGCTCCTCTGAATTAAAATAATACAATACATAATGAGATAGAAGTCAAAGAAAGAAACCAACATATGAATTCTTAAGTATTAAAAATGGTAACATGTCTCACTTTTGATACAGGACCACTCTAGATGCAATGTTTCTTTTACATATAACTATTTGGAAACTGGGAAGCTCCTCACAGTGTATTTAAAAGAGTGTATGGGGAAGAGGAGCAAATACTTAATATTGTAAGCATCTTCTTCCTCCCTAATTTATTTCCAGCTCTGGAATAGGGTTGGGGGTTAACTGTTTTAGAAAGCAGAACCCAGCAAGGGGCCACTCCCTTCTCCTCTATCCTTTTTCATATTCAAAACAGGTAAAATCTTTTCTGCACAGAAGTTCTTCACATTCATATAGGTTTACAGAAATCATTGTATTCTGAAAATACAGTACAATAAGTTGCCATTGTTATCTTTTTCTACATGTGTATGCTAGGTCTCAAGATAACCAAGGTACTATGGAAACACTTCCATAGCAAAAGATGTGGCTGTGAATCAGGTCCTTCCTGTCCCATCCTGCACCCTCATCACATGGCATCTTCAGATGAATTCTCTTTCTCCATATCTTCACAAAGTGAAAATATGGCTACTGTAATATGTGTGTATACCACAGAACTTAAGCTTAAGAGGGAGAATCAAATATTCTACTGAAATAAGTATGAAAATTATTGGATGGATATATATAAATATACAGTAAGAAACAGGTTTGAAAATGATGTAAAAACTCACAATAGCAAAACACATTAAAAAGAATAAAACATACACACCTCGGGCTGCTTTTACATTAAATCTCAATCTTCTTAATGCCTCATCTGTATCAAAATTACATTTCACCAATTCATACAAAGCCTGAAAAAGAAGAAGTCCATATTGTCTTCTCAGGCTTCATTTTTACAATTCTAATATTAAAACTGAGAGAGCTCCAGCAGTATGAAATATAACCTTCAGTTTTTTCTATAACTGATATAAAAATTCTGAATCCTCTCAAGATATTCCAAAATGTTACTGATTGGATCTAGAATGTTATTCCTCTGACAAGAGCACCCTGAAGGGGAGACCTCTTAAAATGGCTCTTCTGGTGGAAAAAATGAACCAATTTCCCCTGATTTCCTGTCTCTTTTCATCATCTGCAACATCTTCTTCCACTGTTCTGGACAGCTCACAACCCTCCAGGGCAAATTTTAATGAAAATGTACACAACAAAATGAGGAGAATGGGGGGAAACTGTTGGAGACTGACTCCCTTTTCAGCCAGTGGAAAAGCTCTGCTGAATCCAAAGCTCTGTTGGCAAATGAACATTTCTATATATTTGATATACCTGTTCATTATCTTTAATATGAGATCCTTCAGGAATTGCATCAATTCCTCTCTCATCACCTGTTCGTCTGGAGGCTTCATTAAGGAATTCAATCACTTTATCTTCAGTCAAGTAATCTGGATTCCATAGCAATTGATCATCATTTTCATACACTAAAATTAGAGACAGATAATTACATGTCTCCTAACAATATTTAAGCTTATCTTCTAAAGAATCAGATAATTCTTTTCATTCTATCTTACCTCTAGACAACCCATAAATTTCTGTTTCTTAAATATTACGGAAAAATAGGAGACCTGAATCAAGGAGGGGAAATCCCGTTCCTGACTAAAGCATTTTCTCTAGCAGAGACATTCAGGAAAGTGCCTCATCCTACTTACTTTTTGAGTTCAGCTTATTTCATCCAGTTCCAGATAAATGCAAACTAAACTTCTAAATACATTACTTTTGCAGAACAACTTAGTCGAATTTGATAATTTTACACAGAAAACACATTTTTAGAGCAAATGTTCAGAAACTATTTTCTAATATTTATATATAGGGAAAAACTACTACTTGAATATTAAAAGTCTGTTTTGGAATATCATAGTAAAAATATCCTGCTCTTTACTTCCTAATATCCCTTGCAGTAACTGTTCTAAAACTTCACTATAACCTGCCAGCCATATATAAAGAGAATGTTACCAAATCTGACACCCATAAATGCTGCTAAGCTCATATAAAACCAGAATGATGAAAAATGTAATGTCATTTAATTTTAAAACTTTTTCCCTTTAATATATAAAAGGAAGAGAGAGAGAGAGAAAACAGGCGCACAAAGCAAACAGAAAAAGAAACATTATGTTACATATTGCAAATAGTTCAGACTAATTTTTTTAATACATTTAACCTTGACATGAAATAATACAGATCATAATTCAAAATCCTCCATAAATGTAGCCAATAACAGAACCAAGACATTAGTTCCCCAGCTAATTAACAGATAAGCATGGAACCAGACAGAACCAACTGCTGTGAATTAATCAGAATTAAATCTATCTCACTGGATAATATACCAAGATTCCAACTGTCAGGCACTGGCTGAGTTGTTCAACCATTAAGTTGTTCTTAGAGTTTCTGCAACCTCCAAAGCACCACAGGTAGAATTTTTGAAAGAAGGTTTCCACTATTATGGCTGCAATAATACATGCTGGATTCTGTGTAAATTCCACCCGCTTCAGTAATATATAGGACTGTGCTGTTGAACTGGCAGCTTTGAGATATTCTTATTGAACAGTGATTTGTGAGGTGTTTTGAAGATACATACATTAGAGATGCACCTGATAATGGGCAATCCAGTTTTGTAACTTTGTATTGATAAGGAAGCCATCCATAGGTGTTTACATCATCCCTTACTCTGTGGTGTGTGTGTGTATGTGTGTGTATACATACATACATACATACATACATACATACATACATACATGAAAATAACCAATTTATATAGGCACCTATCTCACCACAGTCAACTGTGGGCAGCATACAACAAAGCTAAAAATGATCAATAAACACATTAAAATTTAAAAATCAAAATCAAACAAGAATAAAAGGATGTTAAAAATAAAGGAGCCGTCTCACAAATTCCCCCGCCCCCTGGGGTCCCCAGACCTGCTGGCATAACTGGGTCTTAAGGGACCTCTGGAAGCTCAACGATAACAAGGCCAACCTCATATCTGGGGGGAGATGATTCCATAGCACGAGCACCACAGCAGAAAAGGCCCGCCACCTAGGGCCTGCCAAAGGTAGCTCCCTAGGCGACAGAACGCATAACTTGCCGTCTCTGCTGGATCTGGTAGGATGGGCAGATGAAATTGGGGAGAGGCAGTCCCTCAGATAACCCGACCCCATGCCATGAAGGGCTTTAAAGGTTAACACCAGCACCTTGAATTGGACTCGGAAACAAATTGGTAATCAATGCAGCTCGCAAAGCAGAGGTGTAACATGTGTTCTACTAGGAACACACATAACTGCTTGTGCCATTGCATTCTGCACCAGCTTCCGGATACTCTTCAAGGGCAGCCCCATTAGAGCACGTTGTGGTAGTCTAACCAAGAGGTGATCAGGGCACGAGTGATTGTGAGTAGGTCCCTCTGATCTAGGGATGGGCACAACTGGTGCACAATATGAAGTTGTGCAAAGGCCCTCCTAGCCTGAGTGAAGAGCAGACTGCCACCTGCTCTTCACTCAGGAGTCGTGAGTCCAGGAGGACTCCCAGATTGAACACAGGGTCCGTTTAGGGCAGCGCGACCCCATTCAGTACCAAAGATGGTAAAGTCCTAAAACCAGAGGGGCTCAAAACCCAAAGCCACTCCGTCTTGCCATGGTTCAGTTGAAACTATTGTTCCCCATCCAGATCCTCACAGCCTCCAGACACTGAGATAGGATGTCCACAGCATCATTTAATTCGTATATATAATACTGCATCGAGCCAGTTTGCTTTAGCCATATTTTTTAAATAAATCAAAGTGATTTAAATTCACATATAACACTAATTTAAAAACGATACTTCAGAAATATACTAAGCCAAACAAACCAAATATTGCTTAACATGATGCTCAAAGCCAGCTTCTATTTCTCATTCCCAGTATGAATAAATGTAAAGCTTCCTTGCATACTCTTTATATCTTATACCTTATTCTCATGGCCATTCTAACATGGTAAAATCATTAGCTAATTACTTTTGTCATATTCATTTCATGTATAAAAATCACATGGTAATATTGTCTGAATTGTTAGATGTTTATAAATCAATCTTATCGAATTGAATCTCCTGAAGAACTTACCTAAAATCTTAACCTAAACCTTAATTAAACTGAATTGCCATAGTAACTTTAACAACAACTAGACAACCCGTGACACATTGGGTCATTGTTTCAGAGATATTTCCTTACAAAAAACAGAGAAACAGAATGACCAAGGGCAAAAAAGCAGTGGGAGTGTGAGTGACTTACAACTTGCTGCCATATTCTCCATTGACTTTGCTTGTGGGAAGCTGGCAGGGAGCATCAGAAACTTTCCTTCCTTCCTCCCTCCCTCCCTCCCACATAAAGTATAGGCTTGCACCATTTGCCCTCCCCTCATGACCCTCATTAGAGCTCCATGGGTCTTCCTCCTTGGCTGATGCACCGAACTGCCTGCCACTTTGCTGGGGGGAGATGGAAAAAAGGGAGCCACAGACTGCAAGGAAAACTGCACCCCACTCTCTTGCCACCAGCCGACTGGGTACAGGGGCCAGAGGGAGGTGGGAGAGGTTGGGGATCCCTTCCTTCCTTCTTCCCTCCTTCTCTTCCCCTCCCTCCCTCCCTCCCTTCCCACATAGGCTTGCACTGTTTGCTTTCCCCTCACGACCCTCAGGAGAGCCCCAGTGAAGCCTCCTCATCCTCCTCCTTGGTTGACCTGCGGAATGCCCGCCACTTTGCTGGGGGGATGTGGAACAAAGGGAGCTGCAGACCATGAGGAAAATTGCACCCCTTCTCCCCATTCTGGCGTGTCCTCAAGGGTCCCTTCCCTTGAGGGAGAAAGAGGAGTCCCCCATTGACCACCGGCACCCCCCAGCCAGCCCTACCTTGCCAGCAGGCATTCAAGTCGCCCCCTCATCCTTCCCTCAATGCCCATCTCCATTAAGAGATTTCAAATTTCTACCTTATTTCCAAAGCAGCCACTCGCCCATCAGGCCTTGCCACCAGCTGATTGGGCAAAGGGGACAGATGGAGGTGGGAAAGAGGTCGGGGATATGCCCATGACAATCACATGAGCTGTACTGACTGTGGAGGCACAGCAGCACAGTAGTCCTGAAGTGGCCACAAATTTCCCAAATTTCAATCCCATAGGAGTAAGGGGCCCTGGATTTTGGACACATCCTGTAATTTAGCTCATTTGAGGTACCTCGGTGTAAAAATTGTTGCCTTACAATGTACCGTTTCACCCAGTTGAAGGTTATAGACATGAGAGTTTTAGTAGTATATAGATTTTGTTACCTTTCTCATTCTCTTTATATTTAGATATACCAACTGGAATTTCAGCTTGATACATGGAACCCACCATGATTTCCTGTTTGGAAAAAATATAAAACATCTGTAATTACAGTTCAAACACCATAATATTCAATAACTAGAAAGATAGCTAAATACCAATTGCAATAAAAACATTTTTAAACTGTGAAATAAGTATATTTGTTCATATATTGACATCTTTATTCAACATAATTCCTTACATGGGCTTAATAATAGCCAAATCTGCCAATAAAAATACCAGATTCTGCAGCATTTTTCAGAAACTGCCAACTTGTTCCTAACTGGAGTGACTAAACAAATCAGGAACTCAGAAACAGAGAAAAAGTTAACTTTAGATCCAAATTGTGGGCTTGCTGCTGCCAAATGCACCAAGAATTGGCAGCAACTATAAACTGTAACTTCAGATTGTGTCTAGTTAGGAAAGCGACAAAGCAGATTACTTGCTTATATTATTAAGTTTTTCTTTGGTGGCAGAAGTCCATTGCTCATGAGTAATAAGACAGGATTCTCTGGAATTCTGACTTGTTATATATGGATGAAACAAGTGCACCTGAGTAATAAATGATCCAGCTTATATGCAAAACCAAACTGTTACCTTAACTGTCACATTTAAAAAAAAAAAACATTCTGCACTGAGTCAAAACAAGTTTTTCAACTTGGCAACTAGTTATCAAGCAGACACAACTAACAGTCAAGTGCTTTTTTTCCCCCAGTTAGCATCATTTGGATAAAGAAAGGGGAGGGAAGGGAAATGCCATGAAATAACATGCATAATAAAATTGCAGATGTGACTAACAAAAACAACAACAACAACAAAACCCTGGTGTATTAACTCAGTCCTCTTAAGTGCTCAATGCATTTAACTAACAACTACAAGATTTCAACAATTTTATTTAAATCAGAGTTAGGAGTCTTTAAATAAACTATAGCTGAATGCAAAGAAAACTACAGATCTGCTGGCAAAGAACCCAGCCTGTGAGATCATTCAAATATAATCTTCAAATGGCTTAACTGTAAAGGCTCCATAGGTCCCAACTAGCTGCGATAACCCTTCATAAGAAGGAGCTTTGAATACTCATAATGCTAGGAATGATTTTTGGCACAAATTAATTTGTATAATAGCAATATATGTTGATATAGTTTATCATAAAGCTCAAGTATTTACTTTTTTCCAGTCTTCTGAAGGAATATAGTCTTCGTCTTCTTCAGATTCCTCTTCTATTTCACTATCTATATTAAGAAAATTAACAACTTTCACTTACATGGGGATAGTTATCCTGAATTTACATTTCTTCAAACAAAGTATTTTCTACAGACAGATTTTTCAAGACCCATATCTGGTTGGTTAATTAAATATTGAACTATGATGTCACAACCAACTCTGTGTGACTAATTGTGGTAGGTATATCCTGACTGAATAATACTATGAACTACAGCAACTTAGGAGGTTTCCAATTTTGAAAAATACTACATTCTAGTATAGTTATTTTAAGCAAATAACTGCTAAAGAGTTGATACATACAACGAAATGTTGCTTAGGAACATCTACATCTTGAAAGTCACAAAAACATAGCATTCAAATGAAAAATAAGCTGTTGTCCAACACAGGCAAATCTTAGCATGCAATACTTAAAAAAAAATTAGAAATAGGCTTCTGAACATATCATACAAAGAATGGGGGAAAAGATTCACACAGCTAAAAATTAACTATATTTTTTCAGGGATATACTTTGGAAGGATGTATATGTTTCAGGATGTATTAGCTAAGCAATTCATAAAATAATTTTATGTAATCATTTCATCATCCCACAAATTCCATACAGGAAAGGGAAGTACAAATGATATTTTTAAGCAGAGATTCATAGGTTAAAAAAGTAGCCATGCCATATGTTAGTTTTGGTAACATACAAAACTAAACTATTTTGCTGCATTCTTGGGACTCACTAACTTTATGCTAAGAGCATTTCTGTTCCTACACATGTGTACCTAAGTAGAAATGAGTTAGGCAAAAAGTAGTTGGGCAGCATAATGGGAAAAAAGCTATTTAATATTCTTAGCATTCATATAGAGAAATACAAATATTAGAGCACTGATTGGGCCAGAGATAGCATCACGTAAGCCTCTATTTCCCTAGCCAGTTTTCCAAATTTTAACTCTGAACACCAGGAATGAAGAATCACTAGCTTAACAAGTCTGCCAGCAACTTTTCCCTCTCTTCAAGAACCCCCTCCTCTTTTCTCACCCTTCAACATTCAGATTAACAGTGCTCAGAGCTTACTATCTCACCAGCAAACAAGAGAAAAGATATTCAGCACCTAGAAATGCTCCCTTCCAGCGTATAGAGGATTCTCTCACTTGAATGCAGTAATATACCATGTGGGCTATATATACCTGGATTATGATCTGATCAAAATTCAGTTTTTACACATAATTGTGCAGGTTATATTCTTGATAGAAATGAAGTATTAGAAAATAGGGCAGTAGATCTTATTATTCAAATTTGGAATTCAGAAGTTTCAACACCAACTAGCATATCTTTAATTAATTCACAGAAAATATATTCTAACATGTTCCTCAGTGGAGCCAATGATATCAAGGGACAAGGCTTTGGAGAAGATCATTCTCCCACTCCTCACCCAATTTATCCCTTGACAAGCACCTTCCCTGTAAAAAAACAAACAGCAACTACTATCTGTCTTTCTCTATAATGGAAAGACAGTCTTTTACTTGTACAGAAGAATCTTATTGTCTCCATCCAGCAGCTGATAGAGCTCTGAGGTTTGTAAACATTTTCCTTTCACAAGAAAACATTTCTCTCCTTGCAGTTGCTTTTAAAATAGTAAAGAGCTGAGGGGTGAGACTCTTTCCATACATCTAGAAGATTTCAACTAGAGAAAAAAAATCACTGCCTTTGTCTCATTAAATTTGTCCAAACTGCTATACATACAGTAGATTTCATAACCTTCAACCTGTTTCAAAATTCCAGATACTGTCATTTAGCAATGGTTCTAGCTCTCCTGATGTTCACTGACTGCATATGAGAATGCCCAAATATTTGTACAGTTTCTATGCATTATTAAAATGTTTAAAAACTAATTTAGAAAATACATACTTGTATCAAAGTATTTACAACGCCGTGGGCGAATTATTTCTGGTACAACAGATGAAACTGGATCACCATTGGAGGACTGCGTCTCATCCTCCTGACCTGATGAATCCTTTATAGTCTCCTCCTTAGAAACAATGTAACAAAGATAAAAGCAATTATTTCTATTAACTCTGCTTGACTCTTAACAACATAATCCAGAAAAATAGACATAACAGATATCTTAAAACAAAGGTCCAATTAAAAGATGAGTACAGGGAATAAAGCAGACCAAAGCTACACATTAAAACATAAAAAAGCAGTATTTTAACAAATATCTGAAAACTAAAAATAGAAGCAGCCCAGTAAATATTCACATGGGAGATATTTCAGTTTCAATACTACAACTGAAAATTTTTTGTTTCACCTACTCAGCATTTTATATCATAAAGGATGAGACCAAGAAAAAGGTCACTGACTCTATGTTCATCTTAAATTGGGTAGCAATAGTATTATTTATGAACTTGAGCAGTTCTTGAGGTTACCTGGTCCCATGTTATTAAAAAACTTTAACCAATATTTAAAGGACAGAATTTATTTCCCTAAAATGTATGTAGACAAATACACTATGGAAAGCTTCCCCCCCTTATTAAAGTTTCTAAGTCTAGCTGAAAAACATCCCTATATACATATGACATATTTGCCAAAAGGTATGTATGCATGTGACAGGTTTGCACAGGCATCTGTGTATATATATTTGTCAAAAGCCACACTCCAAAAAAAGAGGAGAGTAAAGACAAAAACAAAAGAAAACAAAAGCATTAATTACTGCGGATTAAAATTTCTGGTAAAAGCAGTTGATCCCCATCTTCATATATCAACCAATCTCATATACAATCCCATCTCACACAAGAAACACATGGGGACGTATACACTTCTTTCCCTACTTCCAGAGGAAACAGGAATAGTATTAAGTATCAAATTTTATTTGTGATCATAGACCAACATTCTATATATAACAATCAAACATCTAATAAACTAAAATATTAAGAGAAAAACACAGCTAATTACCTTTTGACACAGAACAATTTATCAGAACTTAATTAAACCCAGAGTTTCATTACAGTGATCATGATTGAAGAGAGCTTTGCTACCTTTTAAGATTTCTAAGGATTTCTCAGCTAATAGAAAAAAAGTATCTTCTTCCATGGCACAGTTGGAGCAGTTAATAAGGAGGAATGATATTAATACAGAGCGCCATGGCCACCTCCCTTCCACAACCTTTGATAAAGAGGCCAAAAGCCTGGCAAGAGTAAATGTTCTTCTGTGAGGGAGAGAGAAAATGTATAAATACTTAAGAGTAGATAAAGGCCTGTTCAATAGGCCAATGTTATGAGAAATTCTGCTCCTATTCTTCTGTAACTGTGGAGTCCTTGGGGTTCTCTGAGCTTGGCTGTTTTCTTGCAAATGTTTCGATACCCGGCTAGGTAACATCTTCAGTGCTAGTATGGGATGGGGTTTGCTCTCTGTTTATATACTGTGGCATGCTCTGCCAATGTTGGTGGGGGGGGGGTTGTTTTATTTTTTCCTTCTGGTAGTTCCTTGATTAGGGTATTGTTTACTGC